CGTGATATTCCCAAATGGCATAGTTTCTATTACAGAAAGACCTTCCAGCTTCCATAATTGGGGGCCATTTTTTTCTGAAATCAATTCTCATCTTACAGTATTACAGCTGTAGATGTGTAGAGTAAGATTTAGCAAGGATGCCCCCCCTTTTTTTTTTAACTAAATCTGCAATAGCTTTTTCTTGCTATTTGCTTATGTCTAAAAAAAACTGAGAGGAAAAAAATTCCTGTTGAGTACACTTAATGGTCTCATATTTGAATTTAGTACTATGGTTGCTCCATTCAAGGCTATTTAATGAAAGAATTACTAGTTTAGACCTATCAGAGTCAAGTAATACTTTTATTCTTTATAGAGAAAAAACACATTTTCTTCCTGAAATAAGAACATTAAGAACACTTACTTCCTTGTCTGAAACAAGCCTTTAGAAAAACCAAGATCTGGTAGAGCTGTGAATGATTCATTCTGGAAAAGAATTTGGAATTATACTTGTTACTAAACTGTATATACCCTCTGCCCCAACAATACCACTGTTAGATATATATGCAGAGGTCAAAGCCAATAGAAAATGTGCCACATATACAAAAATATTTATATCAGTATTTTTGGTAGTAATAATGAACTGGAAGGAAAGGTGCTTATCAATCAGGGAATGGCTGAATAAGTTGTCAGATATGGATGTCTTACTGTAAGAAATTACAAATACAAAGAATTCAGAGAAACTTTGGGAACTTGTGTAAACTGATAAAGAGCTAATTAGAACAAGAACAATTTGCAATGCTCACAAAAATGTAAAAGAAAACATTGAATTTAGATTTCTGATCAATGCACTGTTCAATTGTAACTTCATAGGGCCTAAGTAGTGTGCCATACTGCAGAGCTTCTTAAAGTTTTTCCACTTGCGACCCCTTCAGTACTTCTTAAACTGTGGGCTGTGACCCTCATATGGGGTTGTGACCCACAGTTTAAGAAGTGCTGTAATAGAATGAGGCAAACAGTTTTAGACATGGCCAATGTATTGGTTCTACTTAGATTTCATAAGGGAGTGATCTAGTCTGTTTGTGTGCAGTCAATGCAAAGTGATTAATGTAAAAAAAGCACCACTAAAACATGAATAATCCCTTCAGGTGTGCTGTTGCTGACTGCAACTTAATTGCCCTAGTAATAGCAAATAACATAGCTAGAGAATTTTTGTAAAAATGTATTCAAAAGTCTATCTTGATGTTGGAACTAATTTTTACAATTAGAGACTTCAAGACTATCATTGACAAGCCAGTACTCAAAATATAAAATAGAAAAAATTGGGGGGATACTTATTAGCTTTGACCCTGGACAAGTCACTTGACCTCAGCCTGTAAAATGGGATAACAGCATCTACCTCAGGGTTGTTGTGTCCTACATAAATGCTAGCTACTATTGGAGTCAAGGTACTCCAACACTGAGGCCAACATAGGGATGTCATTTTGGTCCTCTTTGAGAATGAAGAACCACCAAGATACTATTATTATTTTTAAGTATAAAATGTGCAAATAAACTTCTGGTATAACTAGATGGCATAGTGGATACAACCTATAATAAGGAACACCCAAGTTCAAATCCAAGATACTAGCTGTGTGACCCTGGGCAAGTCACTTAAACTGTTTCACCTAGATTTCCTCATCTGTAAAATGGGAATAGTAATAGCACCTAGTTTTCAGGGTTGTTGAGGCACAAATGAGATATTTGAAAAGCACTTAGTACAGTACTTGGCACATAGGTATATGTTTACATATACATATACATATATACACACATAGACACATACACACATATATGTATACACATAAAAATGTTAGCTATTCATTATTTTATATTTAGGTGCCTAAGTATTTGTGGAAAATCTCGGTCTTCATATCAATCTCAAGGTTACCACACGCCTGCTGTATAATTTGGAAACCCAGATTCTGAGTCCCCATCTTTTTCCCCACTTGTTAGCTACATGGGAAAGAAAACTTGCTATTTCATCTATAAAATGAAGATAATGCACTCACCTAAAGGTACAGACCACAAGGAAGCAAAATATGGAAAGAAATTAATAGAAAACATTCAAGCATTCAGTGGGACAAGGGATCTCTCGAGGAAGAACTGATTCTCCTCAGACTTCTTTTACAACAGTACTCAGGGCTTCTTCCCAATTCAACTGGTACATTCTCTGACAAGACTGGTTTAATTAAATACAAAAGCTCTCAGAAACCAGGATTAATATCACTGTATACGTCGCTTCAAGTCCTTGGAAATTCCTCCTTAGTGCAAGGGAAAGAAAGCAGTTTCAAATCAAAAGGATTGTATTGTTTTGGTTTTGCTATGGTTTAGCTATCATCTTAAGTAAATACCCATACTGCTTTACACTTATTTTTTCATATCAAATCATGATACTTTACCTTCTTTGACACTGAGGATAAAACAAGTGAATGCATTTAAAAAATTTGTACTCTATAAATGGAAAAGGACCATAATAGACCTACAGAAGGTATATTTCTTTATGCAAAAGAATAAATATGTTCACTTTGCTTTATAATGAACCATTATATTAGCACATTCATAGGTGATAGTGACTTCATTGATATAGGGGAATCCCAGATGAAGAAACTTTGTCTACCAATGCAAACTGGTACCCTTTCTGACCAGAGGATAAAGAGGTGAATGATTTTCCCATGATCACAAGGCCAACATTCCAGAGGTGGGACTTAAATGCAAGATCCTGGGTCCTAGGGAAGTTATACATATATGCCCCATTGCCTCGCTGCATATTCACATAAGTATGACAGTCCATTACAAAAGTGTCATGCAAAAAATTTAACATTAAAAAAAAAAACAACCAAAATATACCTGTTAAAATTTAATACATGGGTTAGGAAACCAAAATTTTTTTATAATCAAGATTTTATTAGTTCTTTTGGTAATCAGTACATAGACACTACGAATAAATTGTACATTTAAAAAATGCTAGAAAAGTCTAAAAATTATGTAGTTGTAATCCTTTTCTGAACTGTTATTCCAGTGACTTTCTTACTTTAAACGTGGAGGCAACTCTCCCTAAAAAGAGGTTATCAAATACCAGCACCCTGAATATGGATAAGGTATTGGGTCTTTT